CTATACGATATTATAATATGTTGTTTAACAGTAATGGAAAAATATCGAGTGTTAATATTGTTCAAAGACATTCATATACTTCAGGATCGAGTTGCTTTCACCGTAAATTCGTATATTTTACAGTGTGAAAGTACGTATATAATACATACGTATGACCGTTGTCGATGAAGAATTCGCGGATCAAAAAATAACGTTTAAAGTGTGGTACGATTTATAAAATAATGCGTTTATCGTTCTAATTCGCATTGATATTAGTAGCCGTGCCTCAGAAAAGGTAAAAATTACTATAACGACGTTTTGTTAAACACATTTAATGGATCATTCCTATACCGCGAACTGAATCGAATTATCGATTTAAAATACACGTGGACCAGAGCTGTACCCATTTCATCAATCGATGAGCAACGAAAAAACAATCGAAGTGATATTTTAATTTTAATAATATTATATTTTTTAATAATTTTTTTTAGGGTTTAAGATTTCTTTAAAAAGCATGTGGTTTTATAATAATATAAAAAATACAAATAATAATACTAATAATTAGAGATTAGAGCCCAAATTATATGCATTTAAAAAAAGTTAAATATGACGCAAATATGCAAAAAAAAAAGTGGCTAAATATGCCATTATATACATTATATTATACTTGATAAAATGTGTTATTTTTTTAAAAAACCACACTTTTATACCAAATAAAATTCTAAATATTTTATAAAAAATTATAATATCCACTGCTTTATATTTAAAATCATTTAAATCAATCTAGAACTTTTAAGAAACTTAAAAATGAGAATGAAAATAAAAATAAATATTTTAGATCATTTGATGTTATCTACTCTCAAAAATCAAATAGAAACCTTAAAATAAATACAAATATTTTTAATTTACTAAAACCCATTAAATATGCATGTTAAATGAATTTATGAACAAGTATGCAATAATTCTCGAAATATGCAAAATATGCAATATAAAATTTGGTGTTTAAATTCGGTGTGATATGAATCGTGGACATTTTAAACCTCCATATACGAGCATACACTTAGTACAAACATGCAAATGCATATAAATCCGGGCTCTACTAACAATAATGCATACACAAGTAATTTATTTTTATACAATCATTACAACCACATGATATGAATTAATGTTCTCTTCCTCTGTACCTTCGTAGCAAGTCATTTATGACTTTCGAACCTCTTTCTTTTTTTTTCTAGGAGGGGGAGATGCGAAAAAACATCAGAGCCTTTTCCAAATCATTGTATGCAAATGGTTATTTCGTTTTGAATGCGAGAACGACAGAATCGAAGCGTCAGACGTTAAAATACTATTCCAAATTTTTATATTCGTGGGAAGTAATGTATTAAACAGAGTATAAAACACAGTGGTACACTGAAATGGCTACATTATGATGACATTTTATTCCAGCTGAATATATGAATGTAGTTGATTCGTGCATCCGCTGAATAACCACCACCGTACAGATAAACTGCAAAACGGACTATAAACGGCAATAAAGTTTTTTGTTTTTTTTTCACATGCATAAATATATATAATACTTTATCGTTGTAACTCATTCAATAATTCTTAGGTGATTGAATAATATTATCTTCAAACGAAAATAATATAAATTCATATCCGTCGCATCAAGAAACATTCGGTCCCAACCCTATAGTGTTTATTTGTATTATCATCAAAAAGAAACTAAAATGGTCAGTTTTTACGTGTGAATTGCATTTTACTCGTTGAACAGATAACTAACGATTTTTAGTGATTCTTTATCCAATACACGAGCTATAATTTGTTACGGACTAATGGTCTGTACTAGGGGCGGCCAAACGGTCGATCGCGGACGATTTCAGAGTCGATCATGTTAGAATTTATTTTTAGACCACCTGCACGAAAATTAATAGTGGTGGTTATGAACAAATCGTCGATAAATTTTATCTGTATAGTTTTTATCTTTTATTCTGGTTTATAAAAAAATTTTCCAAGAAAGTCAATCTTCAAAGGTGAAGTATATTTTTAGTAGATTGTGGCCGAAAAAAATTTGGCCGCCCCTGGTCTATACTAAATATAATTTATAATATGGATAATTTCATTATCCATTTATATATTATAATTTATAATTAAAATAATATATTTTTAATGAAACCAATATCGATGATTAGTACCTGCTTTCTCCATTTATTAATATTGTTCTGGAGAACTATTTTCCCAGTCTCCATAGATCTTTTTTTCTGTACATACAATTTACGAAATTCTTTGTGGACACAATAAGTTTTTCTGTTCCCTTATGGATGTTAGTATTTTCATGCTTCAGAGTTATAAATTGATAATAACGAGGAAACTCTATGTTTATGTTTGAATATCCTAATGTATTTATCGAATTTTATACAAATAACGATGGAAATAAATATATTGAGATCTAAAACAATATTAAAAAAAAAACATAATAATTTTAAGGTTCGAAATTTTTCTCCAATTGATTTTAGAGAGTATTTATTTAGTTTGAAAATTATAGATTTTGAAATTAAGTGACGACGGTCGATCGATTTGTTGCTTACAGTGGTGTATTATTTTTTCTCTTTTTGTTTCTTAAAAACACTACTTCGAGTAAGAAATAAGAAATCTCTTAACATACCTGATTGCTGACGTGCTGATGATGATTTCATTTATAACATGAGTGGAAACATTAAAATTGAATGATTATACTTCCGACGTTTGATCGATTTTTTTTTTTTTAAATATTCATAATTATCGTATAATAAATTACATGGATACAGTTAAACTTTATTATTAAAATTAAATTTAAAATTCAAAAAAATATAAGGTCATATAAGACAAAAACTATAAACTGAAAAATGTTGAAGGAGAATAGAAATTTGTTGACTTATAATTTATCACTGTAGAAAATAAACTTTTAAAAAATAGTTGTAGTTTGTAGCGCTTAGAATATGACATAACATCATTATTTAAAAGTGTATGGCCTAATCATTATGGATCTACAACCATAATGATTATGCCGTACATTTTCATTTTTTTTCCATTTTTCATTTACGTACATATAAAATATATCCGAAGTTTACGTACGTTTTAAAAATACTAGGGCCGCAATTTACATTATATATGAATATGGACTTTTTTTGTGCACGCAATTTACCGACTCCTATTGTAACTGTGCATAACCTTTAACACACAGTTGTTTTCATAATAGTTCAATTCAAGAAGGCATCAACGATAAACACATCAGCATTTCTCTTTCAACTGATAAAATCGTTCACGTTTCATATTTTTTATACTTGTTAGTGCGAAAAACCCAAGTTCACAAAGATATGATGTAAAAGACGTAATAACGTTTAGTTTTGCTATTTCTGTAATTATCAAATACTAGGTTTTAATTAAAATCCAAAATTGAAAGAATTTATGAAGTTCCAAAAGTTGCTTTTGTTCAATTAATCCAAAAATGAAATATTGCATCTAATGTTACTGAAAAAGAACTTCGCACCCAGTCATATTCATTAATAGGCAAAGTTGGGAAATATTTTTTCATTTTTTTTTTTAAAATGATGAGATTATAAAATTATAAAATCAGCTGTTACTTCTCAATCTGAATTATCATCCAGCTGTTATCGAAAACATTTGTAGTTTTTTTTTCTATGTGTGATATCCAAAGATTAATTTTTCGTTAAAACCCATTTAATTTATCATATGATGTTAATATTATTTGGACAATCTTTTTTTAAACTTGAAATAAAGCTTTTAAATTTGCTAGTTCCCACTGTGCAATTATTTGTTCCATCAATGTTATATGGATGTTTTTTAAAAACACGGAACATTACAAATTGCGTTCTTAAGGAGTATGTTTAACATCCCAGTGACCATATTTCTACCGCAATGATGTCTTTCAAAAAACCTCTTTTAAACATTACTTTTCAACATCCCAACAACAGTTTAAAACAAACCTCTTTTAAACATCACTTTTCAACATCCCAATAACAATATAATACAAACATAATGGTGCATAAAATATTTGTTCCTATGTAACATCCATAAGCTGTTGCAATTAGTAATTGTATGGATGTTATTCATTTCCAACAAAATAATGCATTATACTATGCATATTAATATATTAATTAATATCATGGTACCACATTAGCATTGATACAACTAGGTAGGGAGGGTGCTTTAAGTCCTTAGCATCCCAAAAAATTGTATTTAAAAATGTATAATTTAAAAGAATTACTAATTTCAAATATAATTATTATACATATTATTCATAAAATAAATAAAAAAATTACACAAAAAAAAAAATGACTTTTTTTAAGTAACCTTTTGAAATTTTTTTGTTTTTCCATAGTGACCGTGTTTACACATAAGCAAAAAACAAAACCAGAGATTAAGCACCCTTTGTTCAAATTTCTAGTTGTGTCCATGCACATTAGACATCAAGCATAGTATTTCTTTAAAAATTAAAAATATATATATATATATATATATAATGTGGCTGTTATATGTTGAAAGAACAAAATAAACATCATTGTTTAAAAATTCAAATTAAATACAATAAAATAGTTGCTCATTAAACAAATAATAAATTAAGTGTTTAATATAATTATTTATAATTTGTAGTTTGGACTTCAGAATTTATTTTTTAAATACTTATACATTAATACAAGTTAAGTATTATTAGGTATTGAATTTAAAATACCAATTTAAGTATACTAACTTCACACTTTTTATTACTTATTGTAATCTGTTAGCTCATAGAGACACCCTCACATTTGTTTAGTAGAACTCATTATCTTCATGAAATAGTAAAAATATATTTTTTTAAATAATACCATATAATAGGTATAGAGATAGGATTATGTTTAAATAAAATTAACATACAATTTAAAACAGTTATCGTATTTTATTATTCTCTTATTAACAAAATACAATAAAAAATAAAAAAACTATTAAACAAAGAAAGCAATTTATCACAAAATATAATTATAACATATATAATTATCATAAATATCTGCATAAATAAATATAAATGAATCATTTGATACATTTGATTCTACTCAATCTAGTATTTCCATGCCTTAACCAATTAGCAACCACACTTTCGTACTCAGAATCTGTCATTACATGTTTCGAATTTTGTTTAATTATCTCTATTAAAATAAAGTTTGCACATATTATATAAAAATTGTAATTTGCATGAGCATGATATAAATTGTATATAAATTCCATCATATATATAGATATGATGGAAAACTATTTACTTTTAACCAGCTTAATTATTTCTGAAGAGCCTAAAGCCACCGATATATTTTTCCCACGACCAGTAAAAGTAGCAATTACAGCAAATTCATCATTGAATAATTTTTGTAAGACTCTCGTTATGTTGTTTTTAGTGCCACAACCACCAATACTTCCAATAAATGATTCCTATAAGATTTGAAAAAATATTACGAGATACAAAATAAGAATTTGAGAATTAAAAAAATATATATGCGCTAAGTACCAGCATAGAAATAAAATCAGGCTCATTTATAATTTTATTTTCAATTGATAAAAATTCTTCTTTGTTTCTGATTGGAAATAGCGATAAAAAACTTGAATCAATGTAGTTATTGTTGGTTGTTGTAGAGTTCGAATTATTTTTAGAATTAAGTTCTAAGACTTCAACTTTTGATAATAAGCGCTTCAACAAAAATTTATTAGATATTAGCTCTTTTTGAATTTGAATTAATGTGTCACTGACCATCTGATTTGTACTTATATTATTATCTGCACAAAAATAATACATTTCAGCAAATTAATATTTAAAAATATGAAGTGATGTTATAAAAGAGTCAAAGTAAACAATTTAAAAAAAGAAAATTATATTGATTTTTACCGATAATGCATGTGTCGTACTGGGAATTGTTTGAAGATGAGGGAACATAAGGTTCATATACTGGTTCAAAATAATGTGGGGTTGGTAGTGGAGAAATCAGCTGTTAACAATAAAACAAATTAGTCTATTATTTCTAAACATTTTTGCTAACTTTACAAATTTATAAAATCAAAAAACTAAATAAGATCATTTAGCAAAATCACAAAATCTATCAGATATTTGACTAAAAAGCAGGTTGGTATGTATTATAATCAAATGTATAATTTATATTATGCATATAAGACATTACGTATTATTCATCTATATTTTATGCATCATCATATTTAGTATAAATATTAAATATTGTAATTGTTATATTGTTATAACTGTTACATTATTATGCAAGTTGAGTATGATTTTTTTTTAATATGATTTGAATGATTTTATTACTTTGATTATTTCATTTATATAGTTAACAATTCTAAATTGGATAGGATAATTTAAATTTTAAATGTGTAAAAGTTAAAAACAAGATGCAAGTATTACAAACTAAATTATTTGTTTATTTAAAACATAACATGTAATAAACATGAAAATATTCTATATTCAAATTTGAATATCCTTTATTAAAACGTTTAGTTACAAAATGATTAGCAAAATTTAATAATAAATTATATTAGTTTTATTAGAAACAATTACATTAGCAATATAATATGTTTACTAAATAATGATCCAGTCTACAATAAAAATTATTTTTCACATCCTATGAAAGTATATAAATTAAAAACTATGGTTATAAATAAATTAAATAAAAATTAAATAACAATTTATATGATTTAGTTGTTAAAATTAAAATAAAACATTATTAAGTACCTGATTGTATCTGTTTGGTGAATATGTATGGTCCTTATTAGAGCCAGAAGGTAATGGAGTTAATTCATTTGGATCAGCTGATAAAATAGGAATTTTTAGTTGATGATTAGCTGTAACATTTACTTGCAACTCTGTGAATTGTTTTTTAGATATATCTGTTTTCGGAAGTGAGTTACCATTGACAGGCATTATAGAGAAACTACTATCTATTAATAACAAAAAAAAAAAAAAAAAACATTATAATAGGTAGGTACCTACATAAAAATATTCATTGAATCAGATTTTATAGAGGTTTTTATTAGAGTACTCATAAACGCAATAAATAAATATAATACAAAAATAAGATAATTCTAAAAAATCTTATACATGATAATATGTAAATCAAAATACCTTCAATGTCGCTTTCATCTGAATATGAATTTGAAAGACGTTTTTTTTTCTTGGGAGTGGCTTCTTCACTTTCAGCAGCAGAGGTCTCCAATTCTACTTGCGAATGCCATGCCTGCTTAAAATTTGCTAAAATATAAGTAATCATACATTAAGATTAGACTATAGTTATTTATATTAATACAAATTAATTACCATATATTTTATTATTAATAATTTTTATTTTGTACAATGACCATGTTTCGTCTGGATTATCAGCTTTTAACAATTCACTACTAGTCACCTTGAATGGTGGCCATTTGCAGTATTGAATTGATGATAAGTTATACTCTGTTAAAGTTATCTGATTTAAGTCTAAGCCCAGTCAATTAACAGGTACAACACTAAAATCTTTTGCATCAGTGAAAACAACAACTACCCATCGCTTTGACGGTCGACCCTAGGTATAAAAAAATCAAAAAATTAATTTAATACATTGTAAGTACATACTCAATATATGTACCTGTTAAATTAAGTACTAGGTGTAGGTATTATAATATAGATTACCCACACACACTAGTCAGGGTTGGAATATTATTACACATCAGTGAATAATAGCCTAAAATGTTATACATATGAATACGTTGTACTGAAACAATATAGGGAGCTAGGTAAAATAATATTATTTTTAAGTAACTTGATAAGTTTAAAATCGTTACAAATCATGAAATAAATGATTTACCTCGTGATTTAGGTACTTTGATAAATGCCTACCAATAAAATTATTTATTCTAATAAAATGGTAGATATTTAATTGCATATTAAAATTGTAATTTTAATGAAGTAACTCATATTAAAAAAAAAAGTACAGGATACAGGAATTATAAAATTATATTTCAATTGCAGAATAAGATAGGTAGTATTATAGTAAAATAAATGACATAGGTACCTACCTAAGATTATTGTCTCGGTTTTAGTCATTTTTTATGCCAAAGAGTACATTTTAGGAGAATATTTTCATTAAACAGGTAAATGAAAAGTGGTTACCACATAAAATAATAATAATCTTATGAAATATAAATAAGTATCATGTATTGTTATAACTGTAAAAACTTACCTTACGACTTGTAGACATCGTAGACATTAGGAACATCAAATAACTAATACTTTTTTTAAGTATACAGGAAAAACTATACAAAATTTAACATTTAATGAACACTAATAAATAGAATAATACTTTAAAGTTTAATAAAACACCAAAAAAAAAATAAAAATAACCAGTCAAAATTGTTCGCGTGGTGTCAAGGTAAACTGACGAGTATTCGAGTCAATGATACGCGGCGCGGCGGTCAATACCAGTGGAAAATAATTATTTGTTTATTAATAAACATTGCAGCAGTTTACGATAACAAAATCAAACAAAAAACCCAAACTTACGATTAGATATTTAATATCAAATGGCTATTTATATACAACTAGTATATTATTATGATAATATATATATAGATAGTTATTATATTAGAACATTTATAGGTATACAATATACATCCAATTAAAACAGCTCTGAAACGTCCTACCAACATTTCAACGAGATGTTAATGAAAGTTAGATTTTATAATGTTATAAGAATGTCACAAATCTATAACTAAGTAACAATTAAAAAATTACATCTTTGAAATATTATATTAACATTGCAATGTGATGTTCCGTATGAAACCAAAAACATACATCCCAGAGATGTTAGGCAACATTAAATGTTTAGTGGGTTATTGCTACAGCTTCATATCTGTATACAGAAATACAATTCGTCAAAAAAAGTTTATTTTTTCTAGAGTATCACTGATATAATTATAAATATCTTGTCCGGTTGATGTTGTTAAAAATTCAGAACAAGACAAAAACTGTTCAATAGCTGCATTTTTATAAAGAAATCGCTTAAAAATTGACATTTTTTACTGATTTCAGTCAATTCAATAATTTGTGATGAAAATGTTCTTTCATAACAAAATATTTTAGAAACCGACTTTTGAATATCTGAAGACATATCTTCAATTCGTCGAGTTATAATTTTATCTTATAATAGAACACGAGGAAATTCTTTTTCAGCATTCTCGCCTAACATTGGTTTTAACATTTTTTGCAAGCTGGTAATATTAATTTTTCAGCTATTGTGTGAGGCTGCATTTTTTACTTTTAATTCAGCGACTTTATTATTATCAATCTGAGGTTTATCGGATATATGTATTTATCATATATTTATATTACTATTATGTCGAATTCAAAATGAACAACATATTACAATAACTTCAATACTTTCATGTATATACCATATACTGCTAGAGTACAAAGGAGAAGTATTAAAAAAATATTGTGATTTTACAAATACTAAATGCAATATTTTACTTGGATGTATAAGGACACAATGGCTATTTTTATAACCAAATATTTTTAGAATAATTGAAGTGAATCCAACATTGAATCTCTGGATTAACACCTAATTATTTTAAAATAATTTTTAATCATTCATAATATAGATAAATAATACAGATAAAATAATTTCATTATCTGTTAAAAGTAATTGATGGTTGACGTACATATACCGAACTAAAGAAGACAATCCTGAAAAATATTGTTCTAATTTTGTACCACCAATTTATTATTTTTACTATCGGCGTAAAAATTTTTGCAAGTCAGCCGAGCATTCTGGCAAACCCGTTTAACAATAATACATTTTTTCTCATTCACACATTTCAATTAATTTTAGTCAAACTCCTTGAATGATCAAAACCAACATTTTATTGGTTCTAACTACTTTCTACATTTTCCTTCCCGATTATTGCCCACAATTGTATGTCTATAATAAATTTGTGATAGAAAATACTCTGTAAATTAGAGCATTAGTTCCTAGCATTACTAGAGAATATTCTACTATCTTCCATACATTGTTGATCGATATACTTTTACTTTCTAAAATTCTATTGATAACACACTTTCTTCATGAACACAATTTTTCTTCTATTCTTTTATATTATAATTTTTTTACATCAGCATAGCATATATAATCATAAACATGATTATATCTATGGAAAAAAATATATATCCCAATCGATTTATTTTTATTATCCTGCAACATTTTTGGATATCGTTTCAGATTGAATAATTTATTCATTAGTTTCATGGAAATATTTTTAGTTAAAGACAACCTTGATTTTCAATAAACAAAAAAAATGTCTCATAAAACTGATAAGTTAGGTCTATATACGTGTATATACATTCATTTTTTTGTATATACATATTTTGTCTTTAATTTTCAGATTGTGAGTTTAAACTGGAAGTTTAAAAGTTATGTGTTTTTCTATTTTTAATTTTTCCGTATAATTTTTCTATTTCTGATATCTATTCATATTCAGGTGTGTTTCCTCTTTTGTTTTCTTCTGATTTAAAATCGTTAACATAATAAAAATTGTACTTCTATCATAATTCTTTATAAATTGTTTTTAATGGTTACAACCATATTTTTAGCTATAACAATAATATAGGTTGGTACTTTATAACAATGAAATTTATTTTTAATAATTTTATTTACATAATAGTTTGGAATTTATAATAATTCTCAACATTTTTATGGATAGAAAACAATTAATGAAAAAGTTCTATCATTGTAGTAATTTAATTATTACCAATCTTTAATAATTCATAAATAATTATAAAATGATTTTCAAACGATTGTAATTTTTTTTTTTTTATTATTTTTTAGTATACAACTATGATAGCTCGACATTTATAGAGATTATAAATAAAACAACATTATACATTAAACATTAGTGTACATATTAAATAATGAAGCCAGCATCCAATATAAAGGAAATTATTAATTTGATGGCGGTAGTGGATTTTGTGTTAAGTATGGAGTGGATATTTAAGGGGATATTAAGAGTCTTAAGTTCATTAATTAAAATAATGCGATTGAGTTGAAGTGCAGGGCAGTCGAGTAGAATATGGGATAAGTCACAAATGCATTCATTTAAGTGAAGAGTACAGAATGGAGAATCATTAAGGCCAAGTTTGAAGGAGTGACTAGGAAGAAGGTGATGTCCTATGCGTAGCCTATTAAATTGTACTATATATGGTCTATGTAAGTATAAGTTATTGAACCAGGTTTTTTTTAGGATATTTGGTGTAATATTTCTGTATCTTGAGGCGAATTCGGCAGGTAGATTGTTCCAGAGAGAGAACCAAATATTAGTAGAGTATTGTTTTATAAGCGATGTGAAGTCAGAATGGGGGAGTTGAGAAATAGAAGGAAAGATGAGATTGGATGAAGATTTAGCAAGGTGGTCTGCAACTTCATTACCATGTATGCCTGTATGACTAGGAACCCAAAGAAAGTGGATGTTATAGTTAGTTTGATTTAATGTAAAAATAAGGGACTTGATGCGAAGAATAAGTGGAGACAGGTGAGAGTTAAATGGGTTTGAATTTAAGGCTTGGAGGCACGACATAGAATCTGAGACAATTAAGTAATTGTTGGGGGGAAGATTTTGAATAAGTTTTAGGGCTTCGGTGATGGCATAACACTCAGCTGTAAAGGAAGAAGACGTAGGAGGAAGGTTATTGTTAAAAGAGAGCTGTAGATCAGGAATATAGAATGCATATCCAGCAGAGAGAGGGGAGACTGATCCATCAGTATAAATCGCGATGAAGTTTAAAAAACGTTCATTAAGATAATTCAAAACGGCTGCATTAACCGAGGAAGAAGACATAGATTTAAAATCATTGGAGGATAGATCTAAAAATTTATTATCAGAATGAATCTGAGGGGAAAAGATAAGAGAGTCGTAAGATTGCTCGTAAAGAGGGAGTTTAGTTGAATTGATAATATATTGGTGGAAATTTGAGATAGAATGTGCTATAATTGATAATACGGGCATAGATTTAGGAACATATCGCCAATTAAGGTACAGTGAGTAATAAATGTCAAAGATACGGTGATCGCTATAGGATAGTGATTTCAAGAGAAATTTGCCGGCAAGCCAGCGGCATCTGATATTAAATGGAGGGCAAGTAGATTCAACTTCCATAGCAGGGCAAGGTGTAGAACTGACGTAACCCATAATGGTTCTGATACATGAGGCTTGGAGTTTATTGATTTTTTTCCAATTAGAAAAGGAAGCCGATCCGAAAAGAAAGCATCCGTAATCAATTTTGGAGCGTATAATAGACAAATATATAGATAATAGACTTGAAGGGTGAGAGCCCCACCAAGTGCCAGTTACCGATCGGAGGAAGTTGGACCATCGAGAAACAAACGCTGTGAGAGTAGAAATATGTGGAATCCAGCGCAATTTGGGGTCGAGAGTGATGCCAAGATAGGTAATATTGGGAACAAAAGGGATAACATAGTTGTTGAGATATGTATTAAGGTTGTTCAAATATCTACGACGAGTGAAAATGATCGATTTGCATTTTTCAGGGGCAACATCAAAAGACACTTTGATTAGAATATCATTCAGATCTATCAGGGCAGAGTTGAGGCTATCGATAGCAAGATTAAGATGTTTATTAGAAGAGAATATTACTAAATCATCAGCGTATATAAGACATTTATGACCAGACTGAGAGAGATGCTTTTCAACAATACTCATATATACATTGAAAAGGATTGGGCTGAGGCAGCTACCTTGTGGAAGGCCAGTGAAAGTGGATCGAGTGTTTGACGATCTGAAGGGAGAGAAGAAAACAAGTTTTCTGAAATTGAAGAGAGCAGATAGAACATTACAGAACTTAGGGGGGACATTTAATGAGAGAAGATAGGTAATGAGGGTAGGAATGTTCACGGAATCGAAGGCGCCGCGGATGTCCACAAATGTGGCGACAAGGAATTCCTTATTATTAAAAGCATGGTAAATGTTACCAATGAAAGTCGAGAGGCATTCCATAGTACCTAAACCCTTCCTAAAGGCAAACAAGTTTGCAGGTAGAACAGAGTTGGATTCTAGCCACCAATCAAGTCTTGTTTTCAGCATATATTCGAAAACTTTGCAAAGAGAGGAAGAGAGAGCAATTGGACGAAAGGAATCATTTGAATTAGGTTTGGGGATAGGGATGACACGATAAGATGTCCATGAAGGAGGAACCTGATTGGATGATAGAATGTTATTCATAATAGTTAGAAGGTAAACCAGAGCATTAGAGGGGAGGTGTTTTAGCATGATAGGTGAAATGTTGTCAAGACCGGAAGCAGTAGATTTTCGTGAAGATATGGCTAAATTTAATTCTGACATGGTAAAAATATTGGTGAGAATATGGGGTGGAGAGTATAGAGAGTGATCAGAAGGGCAAATCTCTGATATAGAAGGGACATAGCACGGAGCGACTTTAAAACAAAAAGAGTCGAACCAATCGTCATTATCTGGAGGTCTGACTGGGT